ACGCTCTCTGCCCAATCGATTGATTACAAATTAACAACAAGCGGTAGAACTCCAGCATACGGATATTACATGGCGCATCGGAATCTGCTGATCTGTGATTAGTCGCGTGTCTAATTATATACGTCGCAGCAAGTACCAGAATTCCTGAATCAGGAAGAGACAGAATTTAAAGGCGGTTGCCATCGAATGCTGTTCATTTTAATCCACTCCACGTCGTTCCGCGGGCGGTCAATATTGACTACATGTCTTAATGCAATTGATTTACTTCACAATACGCAGAAGTTGGCTTGTATGTTAGAGGTTCTTACATTCAGAAGTTGCAACTAAGTCGATATGGACAGAGTATCGAAGAATGCGAAACTACATCATGTACTCCCTCCCCCTCCCAATTACGGGTCCTCTTTTTTCCCTATTCAATTCTTCGAAGAACTATAAAGACTTTTATGATTGACTAAAGGAATGAGCACCACAGATGTATCAGACCTTAATGAAGGAATATAATGGCTTTAAAGAAGATAGTCTGGAGCGCTGTATTTAAAAAAAAAAAACTGGATCCAGCCCAGCGGTCCCAGCAGTTTACAGAACGACTAGGTTGAACGGATTAGTCACGGATTGGATAGTCCAAACCTATGTAAATTACTAATTTGAAGCTTGGCGCCTACTTCAGCTCCGAATCTAGTACAGAACAACCCGATGCAGCATCGGGTCATCGGCGATGCTGTTGCTCTGTCCGGCTTACCCAGCATCGACCCCTAGCCTTTACAGTCCGCTGTAGAGAGTGTACACGCTTTAGCTGAGTGCAATCAAACAGGTAGTCTCAACAGAAAAATCTGCTTGTTTGTAACCGCGATGTGAAAGCATGCTCCTACCGTCGGACACACACAGATCCAGCTTGTGCCCGCCTAATACAGCGGTATAATGAAATAATGGGATTATCAATAATACACCTGCGGGTGCGTTTGCTGTGCTGAAAGAAGCGTGAATTATAATAGAACTCCAACACCCCAGATTGAAGGTGGCTTTAATCTTACGATTATCCGTGCTGAGCCCGTAATTCAGTAGAGCTGTATGATCAAATACCAAGAGCTCGCAAACAATACTATAGACTGCCTAGTAGACGGTCAACTCGCATATAATACTGTTGACGATCGCTTCTATAATGGGCTGTAGAAGGTAGAAGTTATTCTGAATCGGTGTATACGACACGGACTCAAATCCAGCCACTTTACTCTGAAGTCTCAGTCAAAACTAGTTTGCTTAGAAGTCAGTGTGCTTTACTTGAAAATAAGCACAATCGCCTACAAGCCGCCACTTCCAAGCCGCCTTAACGACTTGGTCACAGATTATAAATCGCTACGACGTTATAGTATCACAGATACGCTTTGGGCCTGTTTCTCCGAATCTGATCGGTTGATTTCACCCAGGAATCTCCATTTCACGATCGGAGAGAACAAAAACAGCGGAACCATGGATAAAAGAAGTATAACATGTTCTTTGGACAGCAACATCGATAACTGAGATGCCGATAAAATGTGAATTTCGAGATAATCTGCCATGTAGTGTATCTCACTCGACACCTAGTTCAAATCCTAGTTCTGTTGTTAGGTGACTAAATAGTAGCAGCATAACGATATCATTTTGTCGATGAATTCATACTTCTTTTTCCTAATAGTGAATACGAATTGACTCCAGCTTGATATTAACCAAACGTACTCGGTAGATGCTACAGCTGGAAAACAGGCGTTGGAGGTCATATCACAAACGTCGACGTCGCTCCTGCGAGGCACTATATTTAATACAATCTCTCTATTTCATATCCTCAGGAATGTATTCTTCTTTTTTTTGAAAGCACACAATACTATGTACATGTAAAAAAAAA